TGCCGTGTGTAAGGGTTTGCACGAGTGTTGTGATTCTAAGCTTGCTGTGCTGCACACTTGGATTCTGAGTGGAGTGGGGGGGGGAATTGCGGTTGTATCATTCCTGGTGAGATGTGTGTCAGCCCTCGGGAAGGGGTTGTAATCCGGAGAATATTTAATAAAGATCTTCTCATATTTTGGCGTCCTTATTTGGCTGGACCTCCCCAGCCTCTTTAAATAAAAAAGGTGGTGGCAGCGAACTTTGACAAGGTGCTCTAGTGAGCATACTTGTTACAATAACATATCTCTCATCGTCACTTGTGTCTGCCTCGGGACTTCCCTTTGGCTCTCCCTTTCCACCTGCCTCCTCTTCTTTCTTCGTATTTAGATTTTTTTTTTTAATCATCAGCCTTAGATCGCCTCCTTTTTAACACTTTTTCCCCCGGTGCAGGTAAGGAGAGACCACTTCAGCAAAAAAGACACACTGAACCATGGGGAAAAAATCACGCACAATTCATTAACGCACTACCAGTACAGGAGCGAAACATCCTAGTAATTATTATACGATGACTCAGGTGCGACCTGTGAAATTTAAAAATTTCTCAATGAAAGGTCGCAGTCTACAGCCCGATACAGCCCGCACACCACAACTATTCCAGCCCGCGCAGTGTTGCCAGGTTCAGCAAAAATCTCCAGCCCAAAGTCTGCTTAAAATCCACCCAACGGAAGCTGAAACTAGCCAAAAATTTGAAATCCCCGTATACTGTATCTCAAAGAAATAAACCAGTGTTTTGCATGCTGATCACATTCAAATATTCAATTCAAAATTTAAAACCACAGTTAAACACAATGACGTCACATAGACGGACGTACTCTCTTTTCCTAGGGTTGCCATTGGCTCCGCCAATGCAGATTCGTATTGTTCTTAAGACGATTCTGCAACCACTTGTAATTTTAACAATGAATACTGAATCAATATAATCAGGTACTACTTAGATTATTTTGTATCCATAATACACTACAATATTTTTTTTACACTGTTAGTGAAGATGTCGTTTTTACCCATTTTGTACACGCACAAAGCTCGCCTCATATTGCCAACTAAGTGATCAATGAATTGTCCTCATTAGCGATTAGGATGCACACCACTGCTTTAGCCAATGGCGAATATGCCGGATAGACAGTTTTGTGAATCTGCTGTGTTAATTGCAAATTTGCTGTGTTATTCTTACTGCAGAAGATGCCAGAGCGTAGGTGTTATGACACTGCAACCTAGTGACTTACTCAGCGTGTTGGTACTCAGCCGGCGGGGGGCAGCCATACTGGTGTGACAGTACCTAACCCCATCCAGCTGTCTGTTTCGGGGTCCATCGTTCAATGACGTTCAATTACATTAGTCCGTGATTTTGCTATTATTACTATTTAAATATTTAAATAATTCTCAAAGTGTGCATCTTTTGCTATTGCTGTATTTTAATTGCAATACTATAATCACTAATGTATATCAGAGTCATTATCATGCAGTCTGTAATGCATATTGACTGCAAGGAGGCTGTGTAAACTATTAAACTAGATTGATCCGGCTAGCTTGACTGTTGATCTTGATCCTCAAATTTGGCTGTGCAGATTAGTAACAATACTATTCCAGAAATGTAGAATGAGGGAGAAAATGAGATACAGGAGTCAGTGGGTGAGCAGTTTGAGCTGAAATGGCTTGTCGCCGGTGCACTGGGAAGGCCTCTGTCCCCTGAGTGCAGGTGCACTGCGCAGGTGTAATGGAGAGGAAGTCGGCCTGGCGGCTCGGCACGGCTATGCAGGCTGACCCCGGGACAGACCGGCTCCTTTCAGACCAGAGACGTCTAATCAGATGGCGAGAGAAAAGAAGAATGGAATCAGAGAAAAAGGCCCTTTAATCAGAGCCCCGCCGTTACTGCAAAAAGCACAGGCCTCGGGGGTCTGTGCAGCCGCTTGGTACGATTGAAATCCTCCACGGCCTGCCGCCTCCTGGGCAATGGAGCAGGATGGCGGCTTCACAGGGAGCTGGGGGAGGTGCCTGATGTCCAGTGTTACTAACTGGGAGCTCAGCCAGTCACCCAGCTGCAAAGGGTGTAAAAATGTACTGAAGGTCACTGTCTATAGGATGTCCAGAGCTCAGTTTATAAAATGTGTTTTGTGGGGGATGATGTTCATCTTGGTTGGGAGTTTGAGACAATGGATATCATGGTATGATATCCTAGATGTCTCAGTTTGATACGCTGGATGTCACTGTTTTATACAATGGTTATCCTGGTTTTAAAGACTAGATGTTACAGTTTGCTGCACTGGGTGGCATATAGAGTGCTTGAATGGGGTCACAATCCCCAGTGCGTGTCACTAAGGGTTTACTCACACTAAGCCACCCATTGTTTGACTAGTGTGATTGCTCCATGCCAGGGCCCAGTTGAAGAGGTGGGGCATGGCCACGGTTCCGTTGGACTCAGGCACAGCATACATACAGTCTGCCGACAGATATGCATGCGATTGGAGGACGTGCTGTTAAATGCACGAGGGACACAGGTTAATGCATGGCGCTGCACTGCAGGGTCACCACAGAGGTGGGTGCGCAGGTGTGCAGGGCTGAGGAGCTGTTCATTAGCAGTGCTGGAAGTGGTGTGCAGCTCACCAGGGACCCGGGACCCGACGGGGGATCGTGATGTCGGGCCTATTGGAGGGTCTCCGCTCTAACTGACTGATTCCCAGACCCGTGAGTGTAAAAACCCCCACGGAGAGGTGATGCTTTCATTCTAATAACTGAGGCTGAAAAATCACCCACTTGTTATTTAAGTTAAAGCAAATTACATTGACACTGATGATGTGGATCTGTAAACAATGATCTGCTCCTGCCTTACAGTGAAAGACATGCACAGACATACATACACACACACACACACACGCACGCACACACACACACACACGCATGTCCACTAGAGCCTCAACAAAACACTGAACCTGAATAAATACAACGTTGCATTAACTTCAAGGGTGAGTTGAAACCTCTCAAGACCAAGCAATGAATCTACAGCCGACCGTCCGGCTGCCGAAATCATTTCTGCGACGCCCACAGCAGGAAATGCCGACCATGAGCAGAATATAACGTCACCGTGGATACATAAAAGATAAGAGCACACAGATTTGGAAACAAATGAAAGGACACATTAAAGCAGCATAATGGAGAGCTGATGGTGTGTGTAATGGTGATGATGATGATGATGATGACGGCAATGGCGTCGCTTCTCGCACAGATAGAGACAAACACAGAGCGGGAGACACAGGAGGCAGAGGGGCTGCCATGTCTCCCACAGGGGCAATTATGGTGGGCAAACATGAAAAAGGGAAACTGGTGAGAGAGGTTTCTTGTCTGAGACGGGCAGATTGATAAATGCTGCCATGCTAAAGACCCTTCGGGCAAAAAGGGAAAAAAAAAAAAATTAATACAAATAAAAACATACTCAGGCAAATGCTCCTGTTAATTTCCCAGCTATAGGCAATACATTATTTAATTTTTGTTTCCATAGTCAGGTTCAGGTTTATTTGTACCAGCAAGGTAAATTTAGTCAAACATTTCATAGAAAAATATACGAAATGATTTGTCATTTCAAACTGAAGTGCCACATGCTGACAGAGGTCCTGCTTTTAGCGGGAGACTCGGCGCACTCACACACAGGAAGTAAACACTAAACAGGAGACATTTCCTAGGTGCGGCGCTGTGTGCAGGTTTCGAGTCCCAATGATGCCATTAGGTGCCTCTTGGGGTGTTTTGACCGCCCCTCCCCCCAAGTAGCAGAGCCAGGGGAAAGAAGAAAAAAAAATCACTGATTGTAACTGAGATGGCCTGACAAAAACACTTTATATAGCATTTTCAATATTTTATTTAAGACTATGGCTATAATCATAAATAGAACATAACAGTAAAATGTTAGCAATTACACAGATTGTTTGAGTCATTTGCAAAGATTGCAATGAATTGCTGTATCAGGCCATGTAGAAGAACCAAGATGCAAATGGAGGCTTTTAAATTCTGTTAAATGATTTACACCTAAGTAAACAACTATCAGCTGTGATGAGGTGTTCAGGACCATAGTTAGCATAGAGAGAAAATGGGTGACAACCAGGCAGCTGAACCTGCTGGAGATACTGGGCTGGATGTCGGATCTGGTTCCACTGATATAGCATAAGCGTAATGAAGCTGTATTAAGAATGAAATAAAACTGACACATATACCTCTGAGACTATGTGGCGGATCGAGTTATCCTTTACTGTCATAAAAACACGCTTCCCGTCTGCTTTAATTATGAGGCGGAATTCATGAACTGTGTCCTCCCAGGATTCCAAAATAAAGTATTTATAATCAAACCCTTTGGTCTAATTTTACCGCTCCCACATGGCACGGCTGCCCGCAGATGTTTTAAGATTAACGTTTCGGTGCTTTAGTACCAACGGAGAATATGGCCGGAATTAAACGCTGTCTGAAAGAGCGAGTCGCCTCCTGAAACAGGCGACTGCAGGCATCGCCGCTCGTGTGACGCTGAGGCGAAAAACAAGGCGTTTCTTTGCAAAGAAATGATTTGCTGCTCTTTCGGGACCAAAAGAACATGAAGATGTTTAGAACATGATTCATTTGGAAGCCTTATGAGTAGTAAGTACTCATGATCTCTAGTAAGTATTCATGATCCTCTGTGAGTACATGTAATACTCATATAAATACAATGATGCCCTTCTATATCCTGCCAGGTTCAGTATTTGGGTGATGACCCGGGCCTGATCGGCAGATCCCCCCGACTGCTAAGCGCCGCCCTGCAGAGGGGGGGGCCATGGTGTGGAATCTGCTTCTGGCCCTGCTGCTGCTGCTCCTCCTACAGGCCCAGCTGTCTGTGTGCCTCCGCGGGCCGCGTGGGGCGGCATCCCCACCGGGCAACGCCACGCAGCGGCTGCCCGGCGCCATCATCGTCGGCGTGAGAAAGGGCGGCACGCGGGCACTGCTGGAGATGCTCAGCCTGCACCCGGACGTGGAGGTAGCTAAGGCTGAGGTGCACTTCTTCAACGTGGATGAGCACTACCACCGCGGGCTGGCTTGGTACCGCGCCCAGATGCCGGTGACCCTGCCGGGCCAGCTGACGGTGGAGAAGACTCCTGGGTACTTTGCGAGCCCTCAGGCCCCAGCGAGGGTGCGAGCCATGGACCGGGCCGTGCGGCTGCTGCTTATTGTTCGTGACCCGGCGCAGCGGCTGGTGTCTGATTACACGCAGGTCCTGCACAACCGCAGGGAGCGCCACAAGCCCTACCCTGCTCTGGAAGAGCTGCTGCTGCTGGACGGCGCTGTGAACCCTGCCTACAAGGCCCTGCAGCGCAGCCTCTATCACCTGCACCTCAGCCGCTGGACGGCCCACTTTCCCAGGGCCCAGATCCACGTGGTGGATGGTGACGCCCTCATTCGGAACCCCTTCCCTGAGCTGCAGCGGGTGGAGCGTTTCCTGGAGTTGCCGGCGCGCATCAGTGCCTCCAACTTCTACTTCAACACCACCAAGGGCTTCTACTGCCTGCTCTCCGCTGGCCGCGACAAGTGCCTGGACGAGTCCAAGGGGAGGCCACACGCCCCGCTCAGCCGGCCAGCTCTGCGCATGCTCTGCCGCTTCCTGAAGGAGCCCAACCGTCGCTTCTTCAGCATGGTGGGCCGCACCTTCTCCTGGTGCTGAGGCTCCACCCACTGCCCCTCCCATTGCCCCGCCCACCCCAACCGAACGGTCTCCTCCGGTGCTGGGGTGAAGAACAAGGAGCGAGGTGTCCGGCAGAGAGCGTGACTGTACGTAACCTCCCCCAATTTCTCTCTGCTGTGTACAGAACGGGCAGAAAGGAGAGCAGGACTGCCAGGTGGGTTTCTGCCCTGGTGCATGAAAAATAACTTGCTGGGAAGACAAGGACCAATCAGCTTTAGTGACACTGGGGCAGGGGCGCCGTAAGGGGGAGGAAAGCTAGGACGATTCCTGAGTGACAGGGGCCCTACAAAATTAGGAAAATAACTGGATTGGTTTGGACTGGGGGGCCTAATATGATATGCTTTCATGGGGCCCAAAATCTCTAGCAACGCCCCTGCACTGGGGTGTTATAACTGTGACTCAGACCAATGAAAACAGAGTGCAAATGTAGAGGAACAATTAAGGTGAAATGAACAGCTACAGATTCTGCCATGTTTGTGTACTTTGCATGATCATTTATACGCAGGTGATGCGCACATTTTTCTGTAAATTTTAACTGATCCCTATGCAGTCACCCCACAAATTATGTGAACTGTAGAAAGGCAGAATTTCTACACACAACTGGGGCATTTATGTAAACCATTTAAAGTAACGTAGAATTATATAGCATTACATGAAAAGTGAAAGGGATTTATTCTTCACTCAGTGCAGAGAGGACACACCACAGTGGCTGGCAAAACAGTGGCATAAAAAGTATTGTTATCCACACCCAGAAATGCAAGCATCGCAAACAGAATACTCTAGGCGTTTTGAGAACTCACCTTTAGAGAAAATATGTATATTTTACACCACACTGTGCCCCACAGTTTGAACATTTTTTCATCGTTCACGCATGATTCCTAGAGATCAGTGGCCTGCAGAGATACAGAGATACACTTGTAAAGTATTTAAGTGGCTGTAATAAAGAATTCACAAGCAGCAGCCCCTCACGCACACTGAAGTCCTCATACTGGACAGAATTTCTAACGATTTTATAGACATCCCAGCTAATTGAATTGTTCATGCAAGAATCAACAAAAGCTGGGCATCAGATCCTTGCTGCAGGTTTCACGGTGCTTATGTGTGCAGATCTAATCACCTGCACTCCATTTACCATTTGTTGTCTTTTTTATGTTGGATCTTCAACATATAAATATTTAATTGAGAGTATCTTTATTTTTAATTTTCTTCTAAAACTGATGATTGTAATGATTCGAATGGTAATTTCACAACTTTTGGCACTGCATTGTTTTCTTGTATATTGTATATTCTCAACACAAACAGGACACCATTAAAGTGCTTTCTAAGTTGAGTCTGCAGTGAAGCTAATTCAATGATCACTCCTTAAAGTACATGAGCGCCCACTAACAGTAATTCTAACTTCAGAGCCTCTGCTGGGATCAATTTCCTCAGGACGGATTCTCCCAAGCAGGTGTGACAAACCCTTTTTTAGTTATTTTTTTAGGCTTTACCTTCCTGACTATTATCAAATGTTCCTGAACATGTAAAGAAGGGGGATCCCAATCAACAATGCCTCATCTCCTCCACTCGGCCTCCTAAACAGCGCGTGTGTGACACAAACTGAGTGAAACAGAGCAGAAGCTTGGGCTTACTATGGTCTCCAGGGATGTGGAGCACTAGGCAGAGCTGCAGGAACAGCGGAGACTTCCAGTCTGTGGGCTGGGGCCACAAATACCCCCAACCTTCTGCTCTGCTGTATCCCTAATTTGACACGCAAGACCTCCAGCTCATATTGAGCCTCCAATTGGCTGGAATTGACGCTCTTTATCAGAGAGAAGACCCACGTAGAGGAGATGAGGTGCACCAGGGACATTTTTCAACTAACTCCACTGAGCCAATTAAATGAGCCCGAGAGCACGTTCACCATTGTGCGGCTGTTTACATCATCCCACCTCCGCTCATTTTGCACATTGATTCTCATCATGGTGTCCCCACTGGGTGATCAACAGCCTCGCCCAAATGACCGGGATCCCTTCCAGATCTGAGCATGCCAGCGTTTTCCCCCTGAGCATCCACACATGCAACAGCTTGTCATGTCATCACAGGAGGTTCCTTCCTACTGAGTGTGATTACTTACCTTTTTAGCCATCACAAGCTGCCATTGGTAGAATGGCCTGTTTCTGCTAGCAACATGTCGTCAATGACACAATGATTGCCTTTTCTTCTGTGACGGCTGTGGCCTTTCTCTCTCTGACTAAGCTGTCCAGGCAGCTGAGCCCTACAAACAGCGGCCTGAAGGAGCCACCCTCAGCAGAATTGTGTATCCTTTTACTCATTATGTAGTAATGATTGTGGCGATGTGGGTTCAATCCCGGATTCCCTGCGATGACACAAACATAAACAAGAGGCTACTGAGCACATGTCTGGAATCAGCCAGTCAAAACTCTCCGCATTCAGGCGGCCAATCAAAACTCTCATCCTGAAAAGGGGATGCAATTAAACACAAATAATGGAGTTGCGTGCAACCTAAGACCCAATCAAAGAAATGAATGCAGGAGATAGAATAATCAATAGTGCCAGATCCTGGACATGCTGACATTAGGCCTAGGATGTCAAACTCCTTTGGATAAAACTACTGATCACTAATTAATTTAATTTATCTCACTCTGATGTCGGTAGATGCAAAATCCTTCCCCCCCCCCACGTCACCTGCACTGTATCTCTGACTGGTCCTGCTGTCCCTGCAGATCAAAAATGCTTCTTCCTTGCTGCCCCATACTCGGCCACGCTGGCAGCAGGGAGGTCGTCGGGTTGGTAATATCTTCAAAATCATCTGAGCGAAGCAGGACATTAAACCACATGGTGAAGCAATGGAAGGCCCAGATTTGAAGAATGATGATCTGCTCTTGGAAGATTTCATTTTTCATGTCCCCCCCCCAGTGTTACTTCCATGTCAATATTTTCTGTACTGTTTACAATAACAGGACGTACAAACTCAGAACAGAGCTGCTCTGAAAATGTCACAGTAAAGGGAAAAGCTTTGGTGGAACAGAATGAAAAAAGCAGACTGTGACAAAAGCCACTTATTTAACATAATGATAATATGTCACTAATTAATCCATAGTGGTTCGACATGGTAAATGTCGGCAGCTTGCAGGATTTTTGGTCAGTTGCCGACAGATCATTATATTTTCGTGTAACACAGATATGGGAAGGTGGTTTGGGACCTGGTGAATTGTTGCCTCACATTTCAAAAATGGCACTCACTCATTTCCTACCAGCATATTAAGACCCACTGAAGAAATTTCACCATTTTAATTGAATACTAACCATCCTGCCGTATAGCTGAACTACATTTAAAAAGCCACTTTGATAAGAGCATAAGAAAACAGGGAATACTAAGAGCTTTGCAAGAGCTCTCAGTGAAATGTATCTCGAGCTTGAACATATTTCCTGTAGCTAAAAAAAAAAGACAATTCCCAAAGTTCCACAGAGTAACTAAACTTTTAAAAACTATATCAATACCACAGCCACTTTATGCACAATATATGAATTGCATTTATTATTAAAATTTGTTAATTAATCGGCCAATTGATTGATTTATTGATTGGATGCTTATTACAGCAATTAAGGTTAATTAAGTATTCCACAGCCATTGGCCTTGAAACAGAACAATATGTGTTGAGATTAATTATCTATATTTAAACTGTACTTTTAAACTTTAAACAGATGACCCACATCTAACCTGTAGAATGCGGTGTTGGGGAAAATATTTTCAAGAACCTATAGTCGATTCATTACTAAGAAAACAACAAAAAAAAAAGATCTCCCACGAATATTAGAAAACTCTTATTCTTAATTGAAATTGTTTCCAGATAAATGTTTTGTTATTCTTCTTCTACAGAGTAACTCTCACACAGTTTTTCTAATATTTAGTAATATTTTCTTATATTTACTTTAAATGCATTCTCTGGATAATCAATGTATTTTACACCTTTCACGGAGCAGGTTAAAAGCAGTAATAAACCCAGACCAATCTGAACTTTTACATTAAAAATACAATTGCACCCTCTATAGTCAAAATGGTGCATATCCAGTAAACTAGCGTATGGACTAGCGTAGCAAAGGGACTGAAGTAGTAACATACATAAAACGCTTTTGTCTTTATTAAATTTCGCTTGATCAGTCTCATGTTACCTGCCCATTCAAAGATGGGCACCTATTGGTCAGTAGAAATAAAATGAGCCCATGTTCTTATGATTTCCTACGTATTTTCTGGAATTCGATCCTGAAAACCTACTTATGGTGTTGCTGCTGTTCGTATCCATACAGATTTTTTTGGCAGGGGTTTGTAAGAGGAACAGATATATATTATTGTAAAAACTGACAGGACATTGCAGCTTTAACAAAATAAATTATAAAATACTAAGCAAATACGGGAAAATAAACTGAATTTCAAACTGGTTACTTGTACATGATGAACAGCTTCCGTCGGACTTCAAGCGGTCATTTGAGTTCCTACAGTATGTCCTGTATATCGGAGCGGTTTCACAGCTGACCTTGCTGGTTGCAAGAAATCTTACAGTAAATCTATATCATTCCATTAAACCTAAAACTTTACGATATCAAAAGCGCTGCGGCAGTTTGCAAAAGCCTAATACCATTTAAGACCAAAGTAATAAAACTGCTACATACATTTAAACGTGTGTAATAGAAAATCTCACTCCAGCCAGTTGACCGAAGCTGGCAACCCCGTGGTAAACTTCACCAAACTGGGGAATACGTCCATTGTAAAGTTTTCAACAGTTTGTTATCTAGTCAACGGCACGGGGGAAAAAAAACTTACTTCAAATAAAAAGCTTAACGCGGCCTGTCCTTCACAGAACATTCAGTCACACTGAAACAAACCTGCGGAACCCAGGGAACAGCAGCACCAACGTAACCGAACATAATTTCATACACTGTACGGTTAAATCTCCGCATAGGTTACTGCACACCAGATCAATGATTTCTTTGGCTTGGTGCCCCGAAAAGGGTGACACCAGTCACGACCGAGCTTACAGGGACTGTTCCCAACCTCGATATCAAAGCCAAGGCAAGAGGTGAAGAGGAATGTGACATGCATCTAATCTAGGTGATACAGCTGTTATTAGGCACAGATTTCCAACAGCATATGACATTGAAATATTTCGTATAATTAGCATATTATCTGAAGAACAAATCAAACTGTGGAACAGAACAACATGGAATTACCCATATTTAAATGGATCACTCTTCCGATGAAACATAGGCTTAATTTGCAAATGAGGATCTTCCCTCTGGTGACTGCGATTTGATTTCTAATTATACTTATTTCAACAGGGTAGACTAAGCTAAATCTTTGGCAAGTTTGAGAAAACACAGGGGTCACACTGGATGGGAGACCAGGCCACTGCAAGATGTTCACAGATGAGTGTACATGCAACATGTTTTGGGAGGAAATCAGAGCATTTGAAGGAAGCCTACACAATGGAAGAACATGCTTAAGTCCACAAACACAGAGCAGGGTCAGGTCACATCACCTACCTTCCTAGACCTTGCAAACCTGTCGGAAAACTTAAGTACTGAGGTTCCCATGTAGTGTCTGTCAAAAGTTTGGACACGCCAAGCTGCCTATGGAGAACATTAGTGTTAAGTTACATCACATGACCTGGCCACCTGACCTAAATACAGTAGAAAGGATTTTGGAGAAGTTTGTCCAGAGTGAAGAAAAAGCAGCCAATTAGTGTTTAATATATTATAGGACCTCCTTCAGGACAGCTGGCAAAACACCCCAGGACGCCACCTTGTGAAACTGGTGTAGACAGTAGGGTTTGTAAATCCCTGGAGAAACTGAGGTTAAGGGCCTTGCTCATAGGCCCAGTAGAGGGTGAGTGGTATATAAGTCACCCCATACCGCAGTACCAGAAAAGCACCTCTTGTAGTCTGCAGAGCAGAGTTCACCTCCAGATTCAGTGCGAGCAGTTTGTATCTATAGCCACTGCAAACCTTAATTCCTTTTGAAAAATGTGTTCAACATAGTGCAAATACTTACCTGAAAACACCCACTTTGTGACGATAAGGAAAATCTATGCCTGACAGTACAGAAATAAACGTGAAGCATATTAAATCACCACCCCACACAGGACAAGATGAGAAATCAAGTGCTTGAGTTTCTTCACCTACAGTGTACAGCACATGACTAAAGGATGGAAATATACATTGTTCAGTAATGCCCAGTAAAGATACGTAATCCTAAAATTTCCTGGATGTCAAACCTTACAAAAATGCTGAGTGAATAGATCTTAACTATATGCTAGTAACTCATAGCTCCTACTCTTACTTAATGGCTTGTGAAGGACACTCAGAAATACCCTAATCAGCAACCACACAAGAGATAAAAAGAACAAAAATAACTGGACTCAACACTGAAGACAGCTGAGATGAGGAATTGCAGCGAATGAACTTGAATTGTTATTGTAGTATTGCAGTGCTTTACATCATATCTTGGCATTAAACACAATAGCCCACAGTTCCTATGAATTCTATAGACATTCAAAAAATACATGAAAAATAGGCAAAATACTGCAAGACCAATGGAAAAAAGTTTTTTTCTTTTAAAGTTTAACATTTCCATCTTAGTATAAAACACTTTACATACCCTCACCAATCAAAATCAGTCACAAGAGACTCAACCCCCCAAACTTGTCAATCTAAAAACAAATGATTCACTTTAGCATTTACGTAGATTTTGAAATATTACAATGCCAAATCTTAACACTTTAAACTACAACAAATAAAAATGAAAAAACGAAAGAAAAAGAATAAACAAAGGCAGCCTGATCTGGGTGGCATCTCCACATCTTCAGTGGAGGACACACAACGCAGGCGGCCCCATCTNAATGAAAAAACGAAAGAAAAAGAATAAACAAAGGCAGCCTGATCTGGGTGGCATCTCCACATCTTCAGTGGAGGACACACAACGCAGGCGGCCCCTTCTTCCCAATCAGAGACTTATGGATGTGAGGAATGACACCTGCAGGGAGAGAGAGCGACAAAAACACTCACCAACCCACAGCAGAGCTAAAGGGCTTCGCCTACATCCAACCTACCAAAGAATGAAAACTGCAGCCAACAATTTTTCATTCATCTGTATCTATTTGAGACAAGCAAGCATAGTGCATTTAAACACATGCCATCCCGTGGTGACTGAACCCCAGTGGACTCACCTCCTCCTGCGATAGTGGCTTTGATGAGCGAGTCCAACTCCTCATCCCCACGAATGGCCAACTGTAGGTGACGGGGGGTGATTCGTTTCACCTTCAGATCTTTCGACGCATTTCCTGCCAACTCTAACACCTGCAGCACAAAAGCAGCCACGTGAGTGAGCAACTAACTCCCCTGAAGAATACAGACGCCTCACTGTGATGCTACCATGTGACTCAATGCTTTCGCGCTTCAATGGATTGGGGAAAAAATGCATTTAAAAATTGACTTGTTCACAGAAATAATTATAAAACTGTAAAGAAAAACAGCGATTACATCAGATGAGTTCCATTGCAAACTTTCACTGCAAGCACAGAAGTAGGTGCACAGAGACCAGAGAAGTGCAACCACTGTGTCCACTTTGAAGCATCAAATCATTGTGCCGGTTTCACTTTTCCTGTCATTAACCCACCAAATTCATGTGTGACTCCCAAAGTATTTATATTCATAAATATATTTATACAGATTACATACTGTATGCCTAACTTAAATACCACTACTGTCTTGGACAAGTTTTTCCAGTCCAGTAAATTTGCCAAGCACTATGTGAAATATTAAGTATTGCTCATGTCAGCTTTTTTCCCCCATTCCTGTACCTTCTCAATTCTGTTTACTTTTTTTCCACAGTATATAACAAAAGTTGCATATCAGAACAGTGAAAATTGAGTCAAATAAAATTTGACAGATTGTGGCCAAAAGAGCAGTAATAAGTGCAGTCCACTTAATTAAAATATATAACTGAAGATTCATCAGCAGAGTGATCTTTAAAATACCTGCAATATTAATTGTCAACACCATGGATTATACAGATGCCACCCTCTGAAGCAACGAGACAAAATCACGAAATGCCCTAGCAAAGCCCATTCTCATGAGTGGGTAACATTCTGTATCATTTTAGTTCAAATGTGGGTTATTACACAAAACACAACACAGGGAATAATACAAATCCGTTACCAATAAAGTTGGGACCCTCTGCAAAAGAATGAAATGATTTACAAATCATATAAACTCACATTTAATTGAAAATAGAAAAGAGACATATCAAAACAAAATTTCTCAAAAAATTTTAATCTGATGGCAGCTACATGTTTCAGGGCCATTTTGACCAGTGTCACATCACCTCTTCCTTTATCACTCAGTAAACATTTTGAAAACTGAGACCAGCTGCCAAAGTTTGGAAAGTGAAATGTTGTCCCATTCTTGCCTGATATAGAATTTCAACTGCTCAACAATTTGGGGTCTCCTATGTCATATATATTCGTGTCCCGATGCACCAAATGTTTTCAATGGGTGACAGGTCTGGACCGCAGGCAGGCCAGTCTAGCACCCAGTCTCTTCTACGACGGAGCCATGCTGCCTTAATGCATGTACAGTAGTGTGGCATTGCCTCGCTGATATATACAAGGATTTCCCTGAAAAAGATGTTGTTTGGATGGCAGCATATGTTGCTCCAACACCTGTATATATCATTCAGCATTAATGTTGCCTTCCCAGATGTGCAAGCTACCCAAGCCATGGGCACTAATGCAGCCCCATACCATCACGGATGCTGGCTTTTGAACTGTCCTCTGGTAACAAGCTGGATGGTCCCTCTCCTCTTAAGCACAGAACATGCCACGTCCACGATCTCCAAAAAGAATTTGAAATTTTGATTTGTCACAGCATAGGACAGTTTGCCATTTTGCTTCAGTCCTTCTTAAATGAGCTTGGGACCAGAGAAGTTGGGAGTCTTTCTGGATCATGTTTAGATATGGTTTCCTCTTTGACTTTTATACTGCATTTATGGATGCAGTGATGAACATGTTCACAGACAGTGGTTTTCGGAAGTGTACCTGAGCCAATGCAGTGATTTCCACTATAGAATCCTGTCTGTTTTTATTGCAGTGCCGCCTGACGACTTGAAGATCATGACTATCCAATATTGGTTTTTGGCCTCGACCCTTGCGTACAGAAATTTCTCTAGATTCTCTGAATCTATTAATGATTACATACTGTAGATGAAATTCCCAAATTATTTGCAATATTATGTTGAGGAACATTTTTCTTCAATTGCTGCACTATTTGCCCACACAGTCTTTCACAGAGTGGCAAATCTCTCCCCATCTTCACTGCAGAGACTCTGCCTCTCTGGGAGGCTCTTTTTATACCCAGTCATCTTACTGACCTGTTGCCAATTATCCTAATTAATTGCGATACTCAACTCTGTGTTTTGTTTTAGCATTACATTACTTTTCTAGTCTTTTGTTGCCCCTGTCCCAACTTTTTAAATTCAAATTGCGCATTCCTGTCATAAAACAATTTCATTTCAAGTGCTGTCTTTGTTGTACTTTCAATTAAATATGGGTTTACGTTATTTGCAAATGGTTGCATTCTGTTTTTATTTACATTTTAGACAGCATCCCAACTTTCTTGGAAACAGGCATGAATCTTAAAGAGATGGGACGGCTGGTATTCAGCCCACCTCAGCTGTAAGGTACTCAAGGATGGCGGCACTATAGACGGCCGCTGTTGCCCCAACTCTCCCATGGCTTGTGGTACGGGTCTTCAAGTGTCTGTGGATACGGCCCACTGGGAACTGCAGGAAGAAAGAACAGTAATTCAGTGGGGGCACACATGCAGCTGACAGACGGGTGTCTGTCTGATCTCACTGTTAGGCCGCTGAGCTCACCTGCAGTCCGGCCCTCTGCGAGCGAGACACTGCTTTAGCCTTGGCCTTCCCACTGTCTTTTCCAGCCTTTCCTCCAGCCTGAGAGGAAGACAAGTCAGACTGACTGAAAAGCCCAACACTGTGGTCCATGAACCCGCCCCAGATGATATTTACTCCAAATCCATCTGCAACCATCTACTCGTATGAATGTCTTGTAGGACTTTCTGCATTCCACAAAACATTGGGGTTATACCAGCACAAGTGTCGAACTTGTATTAATGCAGAACCACCTGATAACTTAAAACTTTACTACAGAATTTAATCAATCCTTGTAGATTGTTCAAACATTTTCAGGGCTCCAGACTAACTTTTTGCATTGCTTACACTAATGTGCCCAAACTTTTCCATTTAGGTGCACTACCACAAAATTTAGGTGCACCCAATTTTTTTGAGGCAAATACTGGCCCCTTCTCTGCCTTGGCTTTGACCTTGACGTTCTTCCATGAGTGTGAGTTTGGAGGGAAGAAAAACACACACACGTGCAGTGAAAGAATACAGAGACCTGCAAAACTTTAGGTGCACCAGTTAGACCAAGGAAATATTTTAGTCACACTCGACAGATTTTTGGTTGCACTCTGGAACCCTGATTTTGTCTTAAAAAAAACAACAAGAAAACCTTATTAGTCTTGCAAAAAAGAAACCACACAATTTAACTGCCTATAAACGCCTTGGAGAACCTTTTATGAGCTGTCGCTGTCTTAATTTTCCCATTCTAGCGCAAAAGTCACAAAAAAAGAAAAATCACTGCTATGACAAAGTTTTTTTTTTTTTTTTAAATGCTTTAAATAGATGGCTTTCCATCCATCAACCAGAGCATAACAAGACGGTGGCATTTCAAACATCTCATTTAGCCTTTATTAAGCAGTTAAAGCAGAGGACACGGTCAAATTGATTTTAACACGCAAGTAGTGCGCCCTAGCTTTCAGAAAGTACACTGAAGCGGCAATGACATGCTGAACTAATGTGCAGATGCCAAACAATCTCATTCTGTGCTTTACGGCAGAGGATTAGCGTTAGATTTAAAAAGGAACTATCCCATGATCGTATTGTCCATAATAAACTGTGCGAAGAGAAAGTGTGAGAACCCAAAACGAAGTGCAGATCGCGCCATTCTGACAATTTAACTTACTGATGGTGCACAAGAAGAAATAACCAGACAACCTGCCATCGCACTACAGGAGTATTAAATCGTAGCTACATTTCACTTTGAGCTTAATGTATTAAATCTTCAGAATACCATATCGCACATCGAGAAATGCCCTTATCGTCAACTAACACTTTATCCAAGTACTTTAAACTGGAAAACGGTTGTCAACGACACATATTCAAAACCCTTTAGTCAAGTTAGTGTAATGCGATTACCAAAGCCAGACTTGGTATTGGGAATTATGTGAACGGAACTAAATTCGTCATCCTAAAAATATCCCCTTTACGTGCATTTCACGCCAAACCGGCTTTTTCCCCCCTCCAAACTATGCATTTTAAGCGTTACCGAGCACAGCCGAAGGAAGTTTGCATGTCCTGGTTTACAGTGACGAACCGTCTATTAACCGCGCAGCCAAGTCACCCGCGGATCACGGCGCCGTTTTCCCGCCAACAGAGATCTTTTTCAAACACACAGGTATAAAGACCCACTTGAACCGACTCCAAAATATGGACATTATACAGTGACTGCGAGTGCAATACACCAAGTCAATGCATTGCAATTCATACACAGAAAAAATATTTACAGTGCACTCCAATCCAAGGAGTTTAATTAGCAGGTTACGGAGACAAATCACTCCCAACGTCAACCACTCAACTCTAGATGATGAAGCCCATTTAACAAATATTAAGGAAATGTAGTGTAGTTAACAACAAACAGTTCTATTAAAAGAAACCAACCCATTTAATTAATGGGATTACCGTATTACCACCAAACAGCAGCCCTATTTGATTAGTTCGCAGCAAAAAAAGCCCCGTCCTTAACCATGAACACTTATGCAGTTATGGGAGTGTAGAAGTTGATCAGAGAGGACCAGGTTGCTAATCACTTGCATGCTAGAGAAGTTGACCATAGCAATATTATTAAGCAATCATTAAAAAAAATCACAAAACTGCACAATTAATTAGCGCTGGCTTACGGAATTAGCTTCTTATAACATTCCAAGCTAGCAAAGTAAAACTTCAAAATCAGCTTATTGGGAAACCACTGTTACATAAATAAATGCAATCGAGCGGGTAAAGTAAAATACTACCATTGTAAACCCTTCTCTGATTTTTCTACTTCGGAATCCAGATCTCGGCAAGAAATTTTCCGATCGCGACGAAGAGAAACAATACACCTCCTCTCAAGTCTGTTAGGGAGCAACATCTGAACCAGGCGGGACGACCAATAGAATCACGCGGTGCTGGTTTGAATAATTACTCCAGCCAATCGTATCTCCGTTTGTATAAGCTGCTCCCATCCCCCACTTCAGCTTCAACTGGCTTTTTTTGCGCACGGATCTAAATCGAGGGAGGGACTGCAAAGACGCCGGAACAAATGCACGCAATTATAATCGGTAATTGATTATGATACATCCTATAATAACACTTAAACGGCACAACCATGTGATAAAATATGACATTTCACTTCAACGTCCAATAAAAAGTCATATAAAAGACACACTTTTTTATTTTGCCCTCTTGTGGAAAATAATTGGATGGATGGATGTTTCGTTACAATTACATTCACCTTCGCTCCCTATAATGCTATGAGATAGACACAAACTTACGGGCCGTGGATGTTGCTGATTATGAGAGTATCTAAGCTTATTATAAAACACCAGAAAGGCATTCCAAATGACAACAAAACGGTGACCAATAATAAAACACGTGATGACGACATTTTAAACGTCAGTACGGCGAAGCGTGCCAATAGGCCAGGGGAAATTACCACAATTAACACGTTATTTTACGTCCTGTCATGTCGAATGAATGCGCGGGTTTGCGTTATTGGCAACCGCGCTGTACCCATGAACTGGCGCAGTTAGTAGGTTCTCCGGTAACTGACAAGCCCAAGGCCAATGGAGCCGTACTGGGCGGGACTCCACCGTGCCCGCTAAGTGGGTGTGCGCCGGGACAGGGGGGAGGGAAGGCAGGCAAGAGAGAGGAGCTGGCTGCTGGAGGCGAAGATGGCGGATGGAGACAGCGGGAGCGAGCGCGGCGGCGGAGGAGGGGGCGGCGGCGGCAGCTTTCAGCACTTCCAGCGTGAACAAGAGACCCAGGAGCTCGCCTCCAAGCGGCTTGACATCCAGAACAAGCGCTTCTATCTGGACGTGAAGCAGAACTCTAAGGGTCGGTTCATCAAAATAGCCGAGGTAGGAGCCGGGGGCTCCAAAAGTCGCCTGACCCTCTCAATGTCCGTGGCGGCGGAGTTCCGCGACTACTTGGGGGATTTCATAGAGCACTACGCCCAGTTGGGGCCCAGCAGCCCCGAGCAGATCGCGCAGTCCTCCGGGGGCGAGGACGGCGGGCCTCGGCGGGCCCTAAAAAGTGAGTTCTTGGTTCGCGAAAACAGAAAATACTACCTCGATCTGAAGGAGAACCAGCGAGGAAGGTTTCTTCGGATCCGACAGACAGTTAACCGTGGGCCGGGGTTCGGAGTAGCCGGAGGCCCTGGGGTCGGCATGCAATCCGGCCAGACCATCGCCCTTCCCGCACAGGGGCTCATCGAGTTCCGTGACGCCCTCGCCAAGCTCATCGATGACTACGGAGGGGATGATGAAGAGCTAGCCGGTGGCGGAGGGGCAGGCGGCTACGGCGAGCTCCCCGAGGGGACCTCAATCATGGTGGACTCCAAGCGGTTCTTCTTCGACGTCGGGTCCAACAAGTACGGCGTGTTCCTGCGGGTGAGCGAGGTGAAGCCCAGCTACAGGAACTCCATTACCGTCCCCTTCAAAGCCTGGAGCAAGTTCGGGGGCGCCTTCTGCCGTTACGCGGAGGAAATGAAGGAGATCCAGGAGAGGCAGAGGGATAAGATGTACGAGCGGAGGGGAGACGAGTCTGAGGGCGACGACGTGGACGACGACTGACCGAGACCCGGTTATGGGTCCGGACCAGGGGCACGGAAAATACAGAAACAAGGGGGAAAAGAACCAAGTGCATGACGACCCGAACATTCATACTAATATCGTGGAGTAAATTAAGTACACATGACTGAGAGTGTCGTAAAAATATTGTCTACAGAAAAAAGTTTAGGTGGATAGCTAGTCAACTGGCTGACCTGTTAAACTTTCGTCGGTGAGACTTGTAATCGGTTAAGATGTTTTTAATGGTCGCATCTAAAATAGCATTTCTCCCTTTGGAACCAGCAATCGGTTTTACAAACTATATAGCTAACACAGCAGCTTATTATACTTTGTTTCTATTAAAATATATATTTATACATTTTAAGACATTTTCCTGGACCCAAACAATTAGGTAGAGAAGTACTATAAATTATATAAAATGTGACTTATATTTGGCAGATTAGGGAGAGAGCATTAGTTAAAAATCAGCATCCATTACTATTTGTATCAAACACATGAATGTATTGTAACTCCACAGTAGTGAACAGTGGCTTGATTGGATTCATTTGTAATGAGAGAAACCTGCAGATCAGCCCAGGACACAATCCTGTAGTGACTGTAGGTCCCAAACTCAAAGCTGGATGATTTGGCGGTTTAAGTGATACATGTCAATAGTACATAAAGCACACCACTATGTCGAACAGATAGGAGAGCTGCAAGGACTTGGTTCATGTCACCAGTATGCTAGTGGGGCTGCGGTCTGAGTCTGATTCCTAAGTTAATAATGCACTGAGGCATTGGGGTTAGACTCTCTGGGTGAGCCTGAATCTGACTCAAGTCTAAGGTGTGGTATGCCATTGGGTTTATGTCCCAGTGTGCTCAAAAGACACGCAGAAGATCAGTGTCGAGACAGATGGAGCACGCCGGTCCTGCAGTGACTGGGCCATGGATAAATCTTTGTACTTTCATTTCGCTCGGAATTTTTAAAAACCTGTTCGGACTTTCTTTTTGACAGGGTGGGGAGATTTTTTTTAATGATCACCTTTTCAGTCGCTATTAGAATCGACAGCCAATTCTGGACGTTGTTTTACACCAGTAATCAAGCTACTTTAAAGGACATTAATTGGGTTCATGGAACAATTTTGTCATACAATGTGTTTTGGACAAAAAAGCATGGATGGGTGATTTTAAAAAGTATAAATGGGAAACGATAATACTTTAAAGGAAAAAAAACTGAATTAACCAGCATAGAATTATTTTTAAATAAGTAAATGGAAAATATATATGAATATGGGATTCTTAATGCTAAAGGAAAAAAAAACATTTATTTAAACAAAGCTGGGATGGAGAAGATTTGACCTGGAAGATTTTTTTCTCTTGAGTTTATTTCATTTCCAGGAAAATATGGATGAGTGTAGCTGCACTGTTATTAAAGAATCAAACAAAAACGTTACTGCTACATACATACATACATTACATTCTTTAGTACCATATTACACCTTCCCTTATCATACATCTACATCCAGTCTGTAATTGCTAAACTCGTCCAATCCTGAAGTGAGTCGCTTGCTGTTTATTTCAAGTTATTTTTGTTAATTTAGGGCAAGAGTATAAACATCCAGATTTGTGTCCAGTGGTCCTTTTTAATATTTTAAATTGTGCATGTTTGTTCCAGTTTGGAGCTGCCTTGTGTTAATTTATTGCATATTCTGAATGATGTATGTTGGTATCAATTGACTCTGCAACATTTCTCTTTACTTTGTAAGGAGAAAAGTATGTTTTGAAAATAAGCAACAAAAAAAATAATTGGCAACATTTGGAGTTGGTGGCCCTTTGGGTACGCCATCAGTGGCTGTCACTAGAGAATAGCTCTCATTTAATGATCTCAAAATTTGCAGCAGTCTCTTTTTACCAGCAAATGAAAGTGTTTAGTGTTCTCTCCCACGTGTTGTCGCACTTTAAACATGGTTTACTGTCCATTTACCATGGTGTGGACATCTTCATTATATTTTAATTTTACTCTTCTCCCCAGCTACGGATTTGTCAAACATTATGGGAGCAATAGTGTTTTTTTTTTTTTTTTAACTACAGCTAATGTTTATATATACACGTGTATATATAATTTATATATGCACACGTATGTATTAATTACATCTTTATTCCTGTACTTTGTTACGTGAAATGGCAGCTGTTTCATGTGTGTCCTGCTGTAATAATCTACCGATTTTCCTTTCAATAAAAAAAAAAAAAAAATCAGGAAAAGCCTTAACACTCTGAGACCAATGAGGGCAAGATGGTTTGTTAGTGGAATCATACCCAAGGAGGGTAATAAGCTAGTGCCAGTTTGTATCAATGGCCAGCATATAGCAAAGGGATGATGTGGCTTGGCCTTGTCCTTGTCCTCTGTTGTATGCTGCTGTACATGATAACACAAAGGTGGTCTGGGGGGTGCTATTTACGAAGGCACTGTTGGACATTGAGCCTTACAAGATATCTTAGGCACATGAGAAGAGTGAAAGAGTTAAAATTAGTACATGCTTATTAACTGTTATCTTACACTGAGATATTTAGTGCTGATTAGGGGAACACCATTGAATATGGGTCATTGCTGCTGCAGACAGAACTGGACTGTCAGGCTAGTGTTTTGGGCATTTGACATAACACGTGTTATTACTTAGTGATTTGGGCTTGTATTTTTTACATGATACTGTGTAGAGATGACAGTGAGGTATTTTGTTTTTGAAACCCATCACCACAGAAACTGCTTTCAAATTTTATGTTTGTGAAAAATGGCCAGCTGTTGCAACGTTTTGTTTTTTCTCCTTTTGGCTATTAACCATCTTTCAGTCTTGTCTGTGAAACCAGAAATTTAAATAAAGTCAAAAAACGTTTCCCCTTTTTTGCTTTGTATTGATTAGCAACAGAATGTGAGGTAGTTTAAGAGGACTTGCAGAGAGAAAAGCCGGATGTTACCATTCAGTGAGGAGAGACCCAAGTCTGCGACAGGTGCTAACAGAGAATGGCATCCAAAACAGCTGCTAACAGTCCTCAGCCTCTCTACCCTCAGCTGCCATCTGAACCAGAAAACTGCTGATTATTTATAGAGGAGGAACACGGTTGAGAAGTACAGGGTCCAAGCCTAATAATTGCTAGCCAACGATTGACTTGTGAGAAGCAAAGGAATATATTTGTCAATTTAACAATGGAGGGGCATCCAGTGCTCTAACTAGTCTACAACACGCTGGCTACATTTATACCTAAAGACGGCATTTGTGCGCTTTTTGTCTTTGCTGGTGGGGTTCTCTGGTTGGGGAGCATCAATATTTTGTCAATGAAAATGGCTGATTATGTGGCCTTGCT